GTCTAACGAGGTGCGACTTCCTAACGTCTCTTATCATTATTTGCGACTACATCCGGGCCTAGATAATGCCTGATAAAATATAAAGTTTATCCTTATCTTTGGGTTGCAATTTGCTGATAAGTGTTGATCAATTCAGTCTCCCCCAGTTCATCCTTGATACTTACCAATAAATTTTTCGGTCCATCTCTGGACCTCTGCCATTATGAGTTCTCCATGGTACAAATTGTGCTTTTAATCAGCTGCTTCTGTCTGTTCGTAATGTGGTACCGAAGAGTGAACGTTTTCTGTTCCTGATTTCGTTAGCATCAGAGGAAAAGTAGATTTTAAGTTCTGTTCGACTTCGCTCGTTTCTTTATTCCCAAGAATAACTTTCCTGACCCTGTCAGTTTGTATCCGAGTCTGCGCCGACAGCACAAATCTCACACATCAAAAAGATAACTTTACTTCCTAAAAAGGGCTCAATTTGCTGCGACAGGGAGCAGTACTTGTGGCAGTACAGCCATCAAACGTACAGTTCAACCTACTCAACCAATTTCAGGTACTTTTTACTAGTGAACTTAAAAACCAAAGAACGCTACACAAAACGCATTTGTGAGAGAAGCAAATGCAGCTTGCCCATAAATATTTTCATGTTTCACCTACTTTACAAGAATGGGTCTCACAAAGTAAGACGATACCGCAAAAAGACGGTAGTCTCCTGGTCCTATAGGTGCTACATCTTAATACTCATGCGTTTTCCGATGTTTACAATTGTGCGAAATGGCTGCAAACCAGAGAAGAGTAGTTAAATATCGTCCGAAGGATGAAACAGTCCACCTTTCACGAGCGTGCGACTTTTGCGAGAACGATGGGTCACACAGATGCAAATGGAGTGAAGAACCTCTTAGCTCAGCTCACTTCAGCCTAAGTTAAGTCATCGAGAGTAAACATGTCTCAGGATGATTACTTCGTATCCACAGAATCCATCTAAAACCACAGCATATGTGCTTTCAAACCGTCCGAGCCATAAGCAGTTGAGATGTAACCACCAAACTGGTAAACAGCCAATCAGTTTTTCGGCTGTCGGCGATTCATCAAGTTCATAATGTAATAGCTACAAAAACCCTGGATTTAGCTTCTGATCTGCATTTGAACTAGTTTTTACAGATGTGCGAACTGGTATGTCAGATATTAATATCGCCACAACTGTTTAATAGTAATCGTGTGATAACAATTTGGGCCCCATCATAAACATCTGTTAAAATGGGCAATACGCATCGGGTAAAAAATTACAATAGAACCACCAATTGCTGATATTTGTTTGTTCCTACAAGTGTATTTAAACTGAATTTAAATCAGATGGTGGCAAAGATGATTTTCACCCAGCGGACTTTTTTAGGAAGGAATAGCCGGCGGTGTATGACACGTGTTATTTTACACACTGAGATTATCTGGCATTAAGTTTATCATACAGTGATTAAATTACGCAATCCCCTGTAGCCGCTAGACTACGAGCATTGATGGTTGCTTCGTAAGCGTTCCATCAAGCTGGTGCAAAAGACGTGCAGCGTGAGGAAATCGGTCGTCTCAGTGAGTCCAAGCAAAAAAATAAATTCATTTGATTTGAAGTCGTCACAAACACTGCATTAATTAAATGATCTGAAACAATGGCAAAAATATCACCAGACGTGTTTAACTCATCGCTGCAATAGGAAGAAACCACTCAATCTTGTCACGAACATGTTGGAAAAGGAGGAAGAAGAACGGAGCAGTGCACGTAGGACAAGAAATTTGACTTCTTCAATTGAATATTCTAGATGGATCACGATTTAGAAGTCAGTAGCAACCCAAGTAACTACCGTGGGATTTGATTCTCAAATCAGAGCTGCGGCCAGATACATTCTATACACTTGTGACTGAAGGTACTGCATTTTTGATCACTGATGAGGCCGGGACTCA